ATATTAAAATGGGAAGTTTGGGTAGTTTGCATATTATGAGGCAGCTGCCATGTAAAGAGTTCTGTATTGGAGTTAGAAGATCTGAGTTTCACCATTTTACTCAATTTCTGTTGGCTGCGTGACTAAGGGCAAATCACTGGATCTTTTTGAGCTCCATTCCTTCTCATCTGTAAAATGGGAATGATACTTTGCTTCATAGGATTAAACAACATGTAATATATATTAGGCCTCAGTTTATAGATTTTTGGCCCAGTGGATGCTCAGAAAAGTTCATTCATGCACATGCAATTTGGATTGGTAGGAGAAAGTCGGATTATGGAAAATTTTGAAAGGCATGGAAGGGACTTGGTGTGGTATGGAGTTCAGAGTGTCTTAATATGGGAGTAGACCCAGTGCAGTTTGGTTTAGATGAAACTAAAGAAGAAGTAGTTAGAGGTGAGAAATATCTAGAAAATCAGTCGTTGTAGGTCCAGGATAAGGTGCTGACGAGGGCCTGGCCTGACATGGATGTAGAGATCAAAGAACAAATCAGAGTTCAAAGGAAGAGACTAGACTCGTCCAATGATTAGTTTTACGGCCTCACAGAGAGGGAAGAATCAGTCACCTGTGAACCTGAGGCTGCTAGCCTGGGAAGCTAGAAAAATAGTGGAAGCAACGGCCGATCTGGGGTAGTCTGAAAGGAAAGCTGAGTTAAGGAAGGACAGTCTGTTCAGCTTTGAACGTGTGACTCTTAAGGTTATAGTATGTTGTCTGTGGGTGGTTGGATATTCTCTGGCAGTGAGATCTTGTGGAAGAGAGCACAGGATTAGAAGCTAAGAGGTTGGGCTTCCCTGGTGGCGCAGTGGTTGAGAATCTGCCTGCCAATGCAGACGACACAGGTTCGAGCCCTGGTCTGGGAAGATCCCACATGCCATGGAGCAACTGGGCCCGTGAGCCACAATTACTGAGCCTGCGCGTCTGGAGCCTGTGCTCCGCAACAACAGAGGCCGCGATAGTGAGAGGCCTGCGCACCGCAATGAAGAGTGACCCCCACTTGCCACAACTAGAGAAAGCCCATGCACAGAAATGAAGACCCAGCACAGCCATAAATAAATAAATAAATAAATACATTGTGTATAAAAAAAAAAAAAAAAAGAAGCTAAGAGGTTGCTTTTTCAGGCTTAATCACTAATTAGCTTTGTAGTCTTGGGAAATTCAGCAAATATTGAATGTAGTTATCTGAAAAATGAAGCTTACATCTCCCCTGTCAGCTTTACAGGCTTGTTTTGTGGCTTAAATAAGAATGTATATGAGGGGACTTCCCCGGTGGTGCAGTGGTTAAGACTCAGAGCTCCCAAAGCAGGGGGCCTGGGTTTGATCCCCGGTCAGGGAACTAGATCCCACATGCATGCCGCAACTAACAGTTAGCATGCTACAACTAAGGAGCAGGCGAGCCTCAACTAAGACCCGGTACAACCAAATTAATTAATTAATTTTAAAAAATGTATATGAAAACACTGTAATTGTAAACTCTTACACTATAATTGTAATAGGGTAATGTTATTTCTGTTCTTAGTTCAAACTAAAATAAAATATTTGGTTATAGAGCTAGAGAAGAGAAGAGAAGGGGGAAAATACCAAACTTCTTAGAAGTTTGTGTTTGGAACTAAATCAAAAGCATCAGAAATCTTAGTCTCTGAATACATGTGCCTGAAAACCTCTGTGGACTGTAATTTGGGGAGACTATCTGGAAGTTGATCTTGTGTACAACAATTATGAGAACCAAAAACACAGGTTGCATCTTGTCAATTGTTGGTATTTAACTTGCCTTCAAGTTGGAAGTTTGGAGAACTTTTGAATTCTACCTGTGTACTTGCCCCATGTGTGTTTACGGAATTTTATTTTATTTTTTTCTATTTTTATTTTCTTTTTCACATCTGACTTTTACTACAGGAAAATGATTTAATTAAGTATTCCTTTAGTTTTTAAAATTAATTAATTTATTTACACTTTGGCTGCATTGGGTCTTTGTTGCTTCACGTGGGCTCTCTCTATTGCGGCAAGCGGGGACTTCTCTTCGTTGCAGTGCGCGGGCTTCTCATTGCGGTGGCTTCTTTTGCTGCGGAGCATGGGCTCTAGGTGCATAGGCTTCAGTAGTTGTGGCACACGGGCTTAGTAGTTGTGGCTCGTGGGCTCTAGAGCGCAAGCTCAGTAGTTGTGGCGCATGGGCTTAGTGGCTCTGCGGCATGTGGGATCTTCCCGGACCAGGGCTCGAACCCGTGTTCCTGCATTGGCAGGCGGATTCTTAACCACCGCACCACCAGGGAAGTCCCTGTTTACAGAATTTTAGAACATACCCTTCTAGTGTCTGTGAGCTATATACATTTTTGCCAAGAGTCAGAGTAGGGTAATATTTCAACTCTTAAGCTATATATATAAAGAAATGATTTCTAACCTTTGTCAGCATTATCAGTACAGTATGCTGGTTAGGATCACAGACTCTGAAACCAGACTGCCTGGCTCGAATCCCAGCTGTCAGCTAATGACTAGCCTTGTGCATTTGAGCAAGTCATAACCTCTCTTGCCTCTGTTTCCCCATCCATAATGGGAACTGACATTAATGTCTAGCTGAAGGTTGTTGGGAGCATTAAATGTAGTACTGTATTTAGAGCGCTTAACAGCTCCTGCCACACTCTATAAGCGCTCTTTAAGTGTCAGCGGTGGTTATTATAGAATAGTTAGTCGTTATTTTGGCAGTGACCAAGGAATAAAAGCACATGAAGGAAAGAAACAAATCCTCTCAGAACCTACAGCTGAAGAAAATGGAAGTGGCATAGTGGCAAAAATCTTGGGCTTTAGAGTCAGAGATGCTTACATTCAAATCCTAATTCGGCCCCCTGGTTATAGGGGTTTAAGCAAGACACCTAACCCCTCTGAAACACACTTTCTTTACCTAGGAGACAGGAATCAGATACTCACCTTGCAGAGTTGTTTTGAGGATTAAATGAGTTACATATAAAATGCTTGGCCCAGAGTAGATGCTAAAAAAGCGGGAGTGCTCTCTCACACCTCATGCCCCCCGATTCCTCACTCCACTATAGAGCAGTAAGGGCAGTTTGATTTCCTATATGCTCGCATATTCATTGTTTGCAATTTTAGGACTTCTAAAATTCTTTCCATTTGCTAACAGCAGAATAAACAACAGCTGTTTAATTGGATACACCTTGGAAAGTGTTGTCAGCTTTTGTTTCCTTCTTCCCTTTGCTGTTCTGGGTTACTTGCTTTATCATTATGGTAAATCCTACTAGAACCAAGATGGTGGACATTGTTAGTTGGTCATGGAATTGAACTGGACTGTAGCTTCAGAATCCTCTTCCCAGTATTCTGGCAGCTACAGTCAGTTCATCAGAGTTGATACAGTAGTGAAATCCTCTCAGCCTTAGAGCTTTTTAGAAGAAATGTTTATAGGATTTTCAGAATAATATCTGGGCAGTCCATTAATCCTCTGTCTCAAGATATGAGACTGTCAAACCTTATGACAAAGCAGAGTGGTCTTAGAGCAGTTCCTAACAGCTGCTTATCCATATTGTAACATTGTTACACAGTGTGGGCATTTTCAGACACCTTCTAGAGAAGGCACAATAATTGTGAGCGTATAATGCAGTGACCCAACCAGGAGTGTGCATCGGTATGAGCTGGAATGTGGCCTTAAAATACTCATGCTCTAGGCCTCACCCCAGATTTACTGAATCAGAGTCATCAGTATATAGATCTTGACATGTGCCTTTTGTAAAAGTAAAGATGATTCTGCTATACATACCACTGATTAAAAACAAGTAGATACTGGCAAGAGTATAGGAAATCAGGCATCCCCTCACACTACTGGTATGAGTATAAATTGATATAGTACAGCCTATAAAACAGTTTTGCAGTATCTATCAAAATTCAGATCTGTCCTGGAAGAATACATATATGCATAAAGATACAATTTCAAGAAAATTTCCTGTAAACCTGTTTATAATACCAAACAGTTGTGAGCAACTCAATGATTGTCAGTACGCAAATGGTTAAACATGTTAGGGTAGATTACACAGTTGTTTACTGTGCAACCACTGAAAGAGTGAAGTATGTATGAGAGTGATCTGTACATGCTGATATAGAAAGATATCTAGGACATACTTTAAGTTGAATAAGCAAGTCACAGAATAAACTATTTTAAACATTTTGTGTATAAATATGTAGAGAAATATTTGGAAGAGTACCCACTAAAGTATTTACAGTGGTTATCCATGACTTAGGAGAATGGGAATGGTGGAGTGGGAGAGGATTTGGCTTTTAATTTTTGTATTTAAAATATTTGCAATAAGATTTTATTATTTTTGTAATAACAGAACCACTGGATAAAATATGAATGATTTAAGGAAAGCGCATGGAACCTAATATGTATGTGTCAGGACACTGCTTATTTTGCAATTTACACTTTTAACTGAGACTTATAATCTCTAATTTGGGAAACAGAAAGGAATGTCAAAACTGTTTTGCATGATGGCAAAGAGGATAAAATTTTGTTACTCAAGTTATTGTGAAAGTAATTGAGTTTCAAACAGATAAGCTTTTTTTTTTTTTTTTTGCGGTACGCGGGCCTCTCACTGTTGTGGCCTCTCCCGTTGCGGAGCGCAGGCTCCGGACACGCAGGCTCAGCGGCCGTGGCTCATGGGCCCAGCCGCTCCGCGGCATGTGGGATCTTCCCGGACCGGGGCACAAACCTGTGTCCCCTGCATCGGCAGGCGGACTCTCAACCACTGCGCCACCAGGGAAGCCCACAGATAAACATTTAAGATAAAAAGTATTTGCTCTGTGTCAGAATTATACTGGCTACCTGTTTTAAAATTTTAGTTTGTGCAAATCTGGATATGAAAATTGGATTCAGAATATTTTACTTTAATCCTTTTGCAGTTGATTAGCCTCTAGTCTTTGAGGATGTTAACTAACACCTTTTAATCTCTCTTTTAAAACTTTAGGCCCGATGAGAGAAAGGGAAAGTTAAGGATGCTGGAGCAGAACAATGGATTTCTCTTTCTCTTTCATGCAAGGGATCATGGGAAACACAATTCAGCAACCACCTCAACTCATTGACTCCGCCAACATCCGTCAGGAGGATGCCTTTGATAACAACAGTGACATTGTTGAAGATGGTGGCCAGACACCATACGAAGCTACCTTGCAGCAAGGCTTTCAGTACCCACCTACAACAGAAGATCTTCCTCCACTCACGAATGGCTACCCATCATCAATCAGCATGTACGAAACTCAAACCAAATACCAGTCCTATAACCAGTATCCCAATGGGTCGGCCAATGGCTTTGGTGCAGTTAGAAACTTTAGCCCCACTGACTATTACCATTCAGAAATTCCAAACACAAGACCACATGAAATTCTGGAAAAACCTTCTCCTCCACAGCCACCACCTCCTCCTTCAGTACCACAGACTGTGATTCCAAAGAAGACTGGCTCACCTGAAATTAAACTAAAAATAACCAAAACTATCCAGAATGGCAGGGAATTGTTTGAGTCTTCCCTTTGTGGAGACCTTTTAAATGAAGTACAGGCAAGTGAGCACACAAAGTCAAAGCATGAAAGCAGAAAAGAAAAGAGGAAAAAAAGCAACAAGCATGATTCATCTAGATCTGAAGAGCGCAAGTCACACAAAATCCCCAAATTAGAACCAGAGGAACAAAATGTAAGTTGAAACATCTTTTTGAAAAAATTTGTAATATCTCACATTTACTGGAAGTCCAAGAGACCTTTCTCAGTTTTTATCTCTCCAAATATAAATATTTCTGATAACTTCTTTCATCTGATCCCTAGCATGGAGCTTGGGATGTTATGATAGGTGGTAAGTAAATATTTGCTGAATAAATGAATGGACATCATCTGAGTAAAGAAATATTTTAGAAACATGTGACACTAAAAATCTTGCCTCCTATGTTTCTTTGTTTAATAGCCTCACTTAATTTTGCTTGTAATAAACTGGTTTCTGCGAAATTGAGTTACTTTTAGTGAGGTGGATGGACCTAGAGTGTGTCATACAGAGTGAAGTAAGTCAGAAAGAGAAAAACAAATACCGTGTGCTAACACATATGTATGGAATCTTTAAAAAAAAGTAAGTTATGAAGAACCTAGGGGCAGGACGGGAATAAAGACGCAGATGTAGAGAATGGACTCGAGGACATGGAGAGGGGTAAGCGTAAGCTGGGACGAAGTGAGAGAGTGGCATGGACATATGTACACTACCAAATGTAAAATAGATAGCTAGTGGGAAGCAGCCGCATAGCACAGGGAGATCAGCTTGGTTCTTTGCGACCACCTAGAGGGGTGGGATAAGGAGGGTGGGAGGGAGACGCAAGAGGGAAGGGATGTGGGAAAATATGTATGTATATAGCTGATTCACTTTGTTACACAGCAGAAACTAACACAGCACTGTGAAGCAATTATACTCCAATAAAGATGTTAAAAAAACCCAACCAAACAGACAAAAAAACCTCCTGGTTTCTGAAGATGAAGAGGAAGGGCAGAGAAAGATGGTTAATGATATTGGTTTTCCATTGTTCCAGACCAACTTTTGCTAGTAGAGCTTAGATTTAACCCTCATTACTAGTGTGTTTGCCACAAAATAACCTGAAGTAAATAAAGGAACACTTTTTATAAAATCAGAGTTAGTATTCACGTATTCACTAAATCTTCAGGTAGAGGTTTTATAAAAGTCATTCTTTAGTGGTAACTTAAGATGCCTGCTGCTAAATGTTTTTTAACATCTCGAGGTTTCAGTATTAATTTTCTTAATAAGAAAGGTATGTAACAAATCAGTGCTAGCTTGAATGAAGAGTTTTTAGTTAGTATTCTAATACATGGTATTACTTGAAGATGTCCCCAGACACTGATTTGGGAAGAAATGGATATCTATGAATTTTTGTGACAGTTGTATGCTTTTCTACCTGCTATGCCTGAATAAGTTAATTTATCATCTTCTGTTCAAAGTAATGTTTACATCTTACCAACTCACCTTTTCCTTGGTAGCTGGGTTCCACTGCTTCACACAACTCAAATATGATGTTTTTCTGGAGTAAAGGTCACACTGGTTCTAGGCTCTCACAAGTCTCAGTGTGATATTTCAGTATGTTTTTCTCATTTTTCTATAGTTTTCTTATTTATTCATTTAACAAATATCAACTGAGTACCTAATGTGTGCTAGACACTTTTCTAAGAATTGAAAGTCGGGCAGTGAATGAAAAGTAAAGATGCCTACTTTCAGGGTGCTAATATTCTACTAAGAAGAGGCAGAAAATACACACGTATGTAAATGAGTCTAGGTTTAGATAGTGGTAGGTGCTATGAAGAAAATAAAACTGGGTGATGAGATAAAGAGTAATTGCGGACACTAGTAGTTCTTCCATCTTAGTTCTGCAGCTGTAAAATGAAGGCTTTGAAACTAAGTGGTTTCTGGAATGCCTTCGTATTTCTTATGTCATTTATTAAATGCCCCCCACAGAACTTAGCTCACATAGTATCTTACACTGTTTATTAAATGAATGAATCAGTGGAAGGAGAGAAGTTAACTTTTTACTCTCCAGAGACTTCCACTGTAGCAGTTCTTTCATGGACCTGCAGAGAAAAGACATGTGATGCACTATGATCCTTAGCAATCATGAAAATGCATAAAACCTGCATTTGGTTTTAGCTTAGGTCCTAAGAACCATCTTGCTGGCCCGTCTTGCTTCTGCTCTAGAGAATCTGGCAAATAGGAGAATATCCAATTTTATTTATTAGGCTAGACTTCTTGCCTTTATTGGTAAAAATATTAAAATATATAGTTTAAAATATGTCACAAAATAGAAATAGGGCTGGAAGCAGAGGCAGGAGAAGATAGTCTGTTCATGTTTTGTATCCACTCTTTGTTTTATTGGAATCTAGGAAAAAAATTCAGTGCAGTGATGTGATATTTCTAGTAGTCACTTTTCAGTGAGATTTTATAGCCAATTCTGTCTTTGTTGGATGTCTGCTATGTCTGGCCGTTTATATCACTTAAACCTTCAGTTAACTGTTATATCCAGGAATTAGAATGGTTAGATGTAATTTAAGAGTTTTAGTTCATTTTCTTTTTTAGTAAATCATGTGGGGCATAATTTAATATTTCATTATTTAGGATCTTACAGTATCTTGGGGTAAAGGAATGTCACTTTGACTGAAGATATAGATGTGTTAAGTGGCATTGATTGCACTAAATGTTACCAAGACCATTGCCTGAAAGTTGAGCTTTGGGGGAAAATCCAGGGGTTTTTCTTTCAAAGAAATATGGTGAAAAGCTAAGCTCTTGTTAGTTGAATTTGATTAATTACACTTTTTATCACACATGGGAGGCAGTTATAAGCTTAAGAGATGGTGCCATAAAAGTGATGCTCCATTCTGACAGTAGAACTTTGGGCTGGAGCCCCCAAAGGCCCTACTTGTTGTTAGTGCCATGTCTCTGCTAAGCCATGCGGACAAGGGATGTGCCCAAATCAACCTGTTTTTTGTAACTGTGTATGTGTTCAATGGGGTTTTCTTAACTTGAACAACATCCCTTTTGCTTTCTTCAGGACATTTGTTTTTAAGTGCTTTAATTTTTGATGCTCTTGTGCCTCCTGGTTGTCACTGGGGGTCCACGCCCTTGGTGTTCAGCATTGTAGCAGGCGTCGAAGGGAAAGAAGCCCACATAAGAGTTTGCCCACACCACGGGACAGCTCCCCTCCCCCAGATGCTTGAGGGAAGCGTAGTGAGAACTGTGTGCCTGGGATGACTGTCCTCAAGCTGGGTTTGCAGATATATAGATAGATACAGCTATAGCTGTAGTTATATGGATATAGATGTAGACTTCTTCATTAAAACTCGCTCATAGGTTCTTTTCTGAGACAAAGAAAGCAGACAAAATCTCATCTAAAATAATACACTTCAAGATTTCACTTCTTTTTTCTTTCCTTTTTTCTTCATATTTGATCTACAAGTATTTCCTCCCAATTCTGAGCTGTTTGGCCTTCTAAAGAGTGGCTGTTCTTTGGAACAACCTAAGTATATCTTCTCAACAATGAAAATGTGTCCAAACATCCAGGCAGCAGGAGACCTGAGATCACTACTGAAATTGTATATTTTGTAAAGCTGCTTTAAGCTGTTTTCTCTCCCACCAAATTAGAAACATGTGGAAATGTTTCTGCATTTCTTCCTCCTTGGCAGGTGTAACGCCTCAGGCATGTGAGTGTAGGCCCTATTCAAACATTGGTCTTCTACTAGCACTTTGGTGGGCTTATCCACGAAGGCCAGTCTCATTAACTCTTAGCTTGCCATTTTCACTTATAAAAAGCCAGATGGCTGGTTTGGTCCCATTAGCACTAAGTTAGAGGTTATCTTTGGTTCTCCAGCCTCAGAGTGTTAGGTCTTAAAATTCTTAGAAACTGTTCATTGCATTGCGAACTTACACAGTTATTCAGAAAGTAAAAGAAAAATACACGAACAATTTACTGACTTTACATTTTTCTTTCTACCTTAAATGATGACATAAGTTTTTGGTTCTTTTAGAGAATATGATTTTACTTAATGTTTTGAAAATTATTAAGGATTTTGAATTCTGCCAGATTTGATGAGTATTATTCATCCTGATAAATCTCTTGGGTTTTAATTTTAAAAAGACCAATTTTTGTGTGTGTGTGTGTGTGTGTGTGTGTGTCTATACCACACGACTTGTGGGATCTTAGTTCCCTGACCAGGGATTGAACCTGGGCCCTCAGCAGTGAAAGCACCGAGTCCTAACCACTGGACCTCCAGGGAATTCCCCCTAATTTTTTTTTTTTTTACTTTATTTTTGGTTGCTTTGGGTCTTCCTTGCTGCACTCGGGCTTTCTCTAGGTGCGGCGAACAGGGGGCTACTCTTTCTTCAGGTGCGCGGGCTTCTCATTGCAGTGGCTTTTCTTGTTGTGGTGTGGGGGCTTCAGTAGTTGTAGCATGCAGGCTCAGTAATTGTGGCTTCCGGGCTCTTGAGCACTGGCTCAGTAATTGTGACGCACAGGCTTAGTTGCTCCACGGCATGTGGGATCTTCCCGGACCAGGGCTCGAACCCATGTCCCCTGCATTGGCAGGCGGATTCTTAACCACTGTGCCACCAGGGAAGCCCTCATTTAAAATTAAGATGACTCAGGCTTCCCTGGTGGTGCAGTGGTTGAGAATCCGCCTACCAATGTAAGGGGCACAGGTTCGAGCTCTGGTCCGGGAAGATCCCACATGCCATGGAGCAACTAAGCCTGTGCATCCCAACTACTGAGCCTGCGCTCTAGAGCCCGTGTGCCACAACTACTGAAGCCCGCGTGCCTAGAGCCCGTGCTCGGCAACAAGAGAAGCCACCACAATGAGAAGCCCGCGCACCGCAACGAAGAGTAGCCCCGGCTCGCCACAACTAGAGAAAGCCCGCGTGCAGCAATGAAGACCCAATGCAGCCAAAAATAAATAAATTTATTTAAAAAAAAATTAAGATGACTCGAACACTATGGGGAGCTCACTCACTGTCACCTTTTCTCTGATGCTTTCTCTTTCTGAAGCAGCACTACTAGTACCAAAAAAGGTGTCTTCAGTCCCTATTTGATTTTAATCTCTCTTTTTTTTTTTTTTCGGTACTTGGGCCTCTCACTGCTGCGGCCTCTCCCGTTGCGGAGCACAGGCTCCGGACGCGCAGGCTCAGCGGCCATGGCTCACGGGCCCAGCGCTCCGCGGCATGTGGGATCTTCCTGGACCGGGGCACGAACCCGTGTCCCCTGCATCGGCAGGCAGACTCAACCACTGCGCCACCAGGGAAGCCCTGATTTTAATCTCTTTTAAGCTTATCCTTTGAACAACTGAAGGAAAATGGATTTTATACCCAGCAGTATTTTATCTGTTGGCAATTTCTGACTCCTTATTTTTCTTGACTCCTAAGCATTTGGCTTCCCTTGACCATTTCATCTTAAAAACTCCCCTTCTTAATTGGTATTTGTGATACTATGTTCTCTCTCTTTACCTTTCTTTTGAGCTCAAGTCATAGGTCTCTAAATGCCTAGTAAGTATTACTGTTTTGTTCACGCATTAGCACATTTTACCATGTATATTCCCTTTCTGTCACTGCAGCATCCTTATTTGACTTTTTTTTTCTTCTTTTATTTTTATAGTCTTGAAAGCTTAGAATAAATCTTCTTGGGCCTCTTTTTCTCCCTTGCCATTTCTTGCCTTTTAAAATGACTGTGTAAAAAAAATCTCAGTTCTTTGAAAGTGATTTTAACAGTGTTTCAAGCCAGCCTGGAGGAAATGTGAACAATATGGAACAAACAAAAAAATCAAAAAGAGGTAAGACATTTGAATAATAAAAAGGTTTTGGAGGAAAGCCTGTCTTTAATCCAGAAAGGGAAAAATGTTACTGAGCTTCAGACGAGTTCTTAACAACAGTAGGGTTCTGTCGTTTGGCAAAGATGAGTCACTCCGTATCTATCTATCTGCCCTCAGAGTTACAGAGACCCCTAACACCCCAGCATCAGAAGACTGAATGTGCCCAGGAGGAGGACTTGCTTTCTTGGCTCCATATGTGCTTCCCCAGGTGGTCCTGTCCTCCTGCTGTAGCTTGAGAATGAGAAGCTGAGGTGAAGGTTTAAGCTACGTTTGTGGACTGAAATGAAGCTGCTGGACGGGCCTATGCAAATGTAGACCGTATTTTTATTTTTTTATTTTTATTTTTTTTGCAGTACGCAGGCCTCTCACTGCTGTGGCCTCTCCCGTTGCGGAGCACAGGCTCCGGATGCGCAGGCTCAGCGGCCACAGCTCACGGGCCCAGCCGCTCCGCGGCATATGGGATCTTCCCGGACTGGGGCACGAACCCGTGTCCCCTGCATCGGCAGGCGGACTCTCAACCACTGCGCCACCAGGGAAGCCCTGGACCGTATTTTTAAACTGCCTCATTATACCAGAGATAAGGACAAAAATTCCCATTTGAACATAGATTTTTATTTCCTTGCTCAGTGAGCGTGTCCTGTTGGATTAGCTAGTCATGGTGCCACCACAGACGCATCTGACAGAGCTAATTTAGTGCCCACCAACAGCTTCCACTATTTCTTTCACTTGGGCTATTTCCAGTATTTTCAGTAGCCTCCTAATTAGACATTCTGCTTCCCCTCTTGCTCCCTTCCAAAATATTCTCCATGTAACAGCTAACGTGATCCTTTTAAAACAGAAATTGGCCGTGTATTACTTCTCTACCTAACCCTCTTCAGAGGCTTTCGGTGCACTTAGGATAAAACACTTAAATGTGGCTTACAAGGCCCTGGTGATGTAGCCTCCTCTCCACTCCCATCTTGTAACCTCTCTCTTCCTTGGGGCAGTTAAGTCCGTTGTAATGGCTTTTTTGAAGTTTCTACCTTTGTTTAACCTCAGGGACTTCACACATGCCACTCCTCTGGAGTGGTCTTTCCCCCACTTTTTACTAGATTAACTCCTCCTCTTTTGATTCAGATTATACTTTCTCAGAGAGGCCTTTCCTGATCTTCATATCATAGCTACATACAGACACACCATTATTTCTCTTTTTACATTTACATTGTATGAGTGTATGTTTGTGTTTGTTTAATGTCTGTCTCTTCTACCCAACTGTGAGCTCTTTGAGGTCAGGGATCCTATCTGTCTGTTACAACATTGTATACCCAACTTCTAGAACAGTGCCTGGAAAGTTGTAGGCACTGCTGAATGAATGAATGATACTTGGGGTTTGGCATATGAGTCTGGCTTATCATTTCCTCATCATTTTTACAGTTTCTTTTATTTAATAAAACTTTGTTTTTATAGCAGCGTCTTAAACTGCTTGAATTAATTGAATGAGAATTTTAAGTAACTTCTAGAATTAGCAATACTTTTTAAGTGGAATTAAAGCTAAGTTAATGGATATATTTCTCTTTTTAAGCCATCTAAACTAAATTCTGTTCTTTGACAAGAAAAGTTTTTAAACGTTTTAAATTACAAAAGTAATTTGCTTTTTACAGAAAACACAAATAATATACAAGTATAGATCTTCTCTCACCGCTTCCCTAATCTTGTTCCTCAAAGATAACTACTCTTATCAGTTTATTGTAAATGTATCACATATTGTTCAAGGCGTATACAGGCTATTTTAAAATAAAAAGTAGGGGGAAAAAAAGTAGGAAGATTTTGATAGATGTGGATTACTGACATGAAATAATGTTGTAGTTACCATCCCTCTGCGTAGATTTTCTCACGTTGTGTATTTCTGTAGGATAGGTTCCTAAAATATAATTGTTAAATTGAAGAGTATACAGATTCTGAATTTTGATAGATACTTCCAAATTGCCTCCTCAGAGGATTGTAGAAATCAATTTTTAAATAACGTATTTGTGGGTTTTATGATTAGAAAAGTAATGTGATGTTTATTATAAGCAATTTGACAAATATAGAAAAGCACATCCAAGAAAATCACTTATTCCATCACCTGGTGGTATCCTTCTAGTCTTTTTCTTCTGTACACGTAAGAAATTATTTTTCCAAGATTGGAATCACACTATACAAACTGCTTTTCAATTTGCTGTTTTCAAATAACATTATATTGTTATTTTTCCGTGTCATTTAAAAATTTATATTATTCCACTATCTAGTTGTACTACAATTTATTTAACGAATTCTGTACTTTTGGACATCTAGACTAATGTCTAATTCTAATATTCGCTCTTAAAAATAGCACTGGTGTGCATATCTTTGTGTGTATCTATCAGTATGTGTATATATCAGTGCTTTTTCAGTATACACTTTTAGAAGTGGATTTGCAGGGTCAGAGTCTGAAAATTTAAGGCTTTTCATACATATTGCCAAATGGCTCTCTAGAAAAATTCCAAGTTACATCTTACTAGCAATCTCAGAGTGCCCATTTTTCTGCACTCTGATAGGTTAAAAAAAAGGAATATCAACAAATTAAGTTTTAAAAGTGATAAAGTAAGAAATGGGAGCTATAGCTGTGGTGTAGAATGGACAATGGATGTTAAGATACAGCATCGTGTACTATGTAAGTTGTATTTTTCCTCCTTACATTATTCAGCTAATAAATGTCCTTTATTCCCTTTGCTGTTTAGTTTTCTTTGACTCTTTGTGTGTGTCACTGTTCTTTGGTTTGCTGCTATTTTATTCTTTTCACATAGAGACCAAATGAGAGGGTTGACACTCTATCAGAAAAACCAAGAGAAGATCCAGTACTGAAAGAGGAGCTCCCGGTGAGTGGCTTTAGTGAATACTGTCTAACCAAACATGGTGTGAGAAGGTGGAAGCAGAGTGATTAAATTAGAACACACATAGCATGTATTATTACTTCAGAAGTTATACTGAAATAAATCTTGGAGCTGGTTTAAAAGGTAGATATTTTTAGCGAATTATTTTCCTTTTCAAAACTATGACCACTTTTTAATAGATGTGAATTTTTGAGCTGCCTTATCAATAATTTGGCAACAGAAACCATCAGTCCTCTTTTCAATATTTGGGGTGGGGCTTATCTTCCTCCTCTCTTCTTCCCTTTTGCTAGGTACCTATAGCAGGCATCAGAGAAAAGTATGAGTGAAGTTTTTTATGACCTTTTCCTACAGGTTCAGCCGATGTTACCTTCTGTTCCAACAACAGAAGTGTCCACTGGTGTTAAGTTCCAGGTTGGCGATCTTGTTTGGTCTAAGGTGGGAACCTATCCTTGGTGGCCTTGTATGGTTTCAAGTGATCCCCAACTCGAGGTTCACACCAAAATTAACACAAGAGGTAAGAAAAGGCATAAATGGACATTAGTAAAAAGCTGTGGCAAAAAAGTGAATCTAAAATGTTGTTTATGAATATAATACATACGTGATAATATAATCTGACACCCAAACACATATCAGTATCAGTTTTTAAAGAACAGTGAAATAACTACGGTCATCTTAACTGGCAGAGAGCCTCTACAGCTGACATGGTCCTTGTTTTCCCTTAGAAAACCCTATGTTTGTTTTATAATGTCTTTCACACTTATTTTTTTAAAAATCCTTAATCTGACCTCCAAAAGCAAGCAGACCGATAGGTAATGAGATGTCGTATATGAGCGTAATAGACATTTGGGCCAAGCTTTCTTTGAACATTTTTATTTCATCTTTGACTCCTGTGGGTAGTAATTTTTTACTCAGACAAGTGCTTTTCATCCTGATAAATTTTGCAAGATGCCTTTTTCCTCCTTCTTTCCATTTTTTTTGTTTTTTTTTTGGGGGGGGGTGGTTTGTTTGTTTTTAATGAAAAAAAAATTTTTTACTCCATTTTTGAATCTGTAAATTTACTGGGACATCCTTATAAATTCAATATGAAATAGAAGTATGGTTTGAAGCCAGCTACATGGCATAGAATCCTACCTTAGGAATGTTAATAAATGTTAAGAAAACGTGTATTCTAACTTTACTCCTTTTCCAGAGTTTGACCAAAACCTATAGAATAGATTCCTGAGATTTTAGCATTTGGAATGGACTTGCTTAGTAGCCAGAGGAAGGTTGGAGTTGGGAATTTATTTCGATATTTGCTTTGCGAACTCACTTGTCAAGTCCCTTATTGTCTGACAACTTTGCACCTGTTTCTTTTTTTTTTTAATTTATTTATTCATTTATTTAATTTTTGGCTGCATTGGGTCTTCACTGCTGCACGCGGGCTTTCTCTAGTTGCAGTGAGCAGGGGCTACTCTTTGTTGCGGGGCGCAGGCTTCTCATTGTGGTGGCTTCTCTTGTTGCAGAGCACAGGCTCTAGGCGCGTGGTCTTCAGTAGTTGTGGCACACGGGCTTCAGTAGTTGTGGCTCTCGGGCTCTAGAGCGCAGGCTCAGTAGTTGTGGCACACGGGCCTAGTTGCTCCATGGCATGTGGGATCTTCCTGGACCAGGGCTCAAACCCGTGTCCCCTGCATTGGCAGGCGGATTCTTAACCACTGCGCCACCAGGGAAGCCCTGCACCTATTTCTTTTTCTCTCATTTTAAACTTTCTGTCTTGGTCCCTGTTCACTGTTATGAGGAGAAAAAGTGTCTGGCAAGTCAGATTTGTGACGGGATCCGCCATATTTATAACTCTTGTGCTACCCAGCAAGAAATCCACCCAGATACAGAAGGCAGTCATCTTGTCACTATAATCTGCTGATTAAAGGTTGGGGTGACTAGAAGTATCGATGAGGCAGAAGTTTAAAAAAAAACCAACACTGTTGAATGTCCACTCCTGTGCAAGGCACAGTGTTAAACAATTCTCTTGTAGGACTTCCCTGGCGGTCCAATGGTTAAGACTCCACGCTTCCAATGTGTGGGGCATGGGTTGGATCCCTGGTTGGGCAGCTGAGACCCCCACGTGCTGCATGACGTGGTCAAAAAATAAATGAAAAAACAAAGAATTCTCTTGTATATTTTCTTAAGCAGTCCTCATAGCAGCAACACTATGAAGTAGGTACTATTATCCTTACGTTTTGGATCTGTAAATAGAGTCTTAAAGAAATCTTAGTCCCTAACCTCCACTCTTAACTACTACTGTATAATAAAAGGAAAGTAATTGAATTCCCCTACTCATAATTTACAGAGACTGGGGGAGGCGGTCCTAGCCCCTTCATTTATATAGTGGGGCTGTTGGACTGTTAATCTCTTGAGTACCTTGCACGTTTAATAATCTGTGATTCTTGAATGGGAGAAGAAAGGGACAAGCCTTCTTAGATAAAACAATACACAAGTCCCTGTCTGGGCCTCCAGAGCACTCTAAGATATTACATCACGTGAGAGTTGTGGCTCTTCAGTTCTGTCCCCTTAGGAAAGCATCCTTTTGAGATTATATAAAGAATTTCACATTTAATTACTCTATGAAAACTTACTAATATCAGCTTTTTTCTGGGGTACAAATGAAAGCATAATCTATGCTTCGTCTTGTATTCCAAAGGAAGTATTTAAATTTATTTTATGAATTAATCTGGTCTGGTCCTCCCTACTTTAGTGCTGGAAAAACTGATTTTGTTTGTACTGTTGAGGAAACCGAAATCTGAGAATTTAGGTTTGAAAAATGTACATGCTGATAATATTTTAAATTTCCTCTTTCCTGCAGTAGTTTTTAAAATAATAGCCTTCTTGAGATATCATTTACATGCCATAAAATTCACCCTTTGAAAGCCTGCAATTTAATGATGTTTATAGTTCGTTTCCAGAGTTGTGTGACCATTACCACAATCTAACTTTATCACTTCTTTCATCAGCCCAAAAAAGAAATCCCACATCCATTAGGAGTCACTTCCCATTCCCCCCTCTGCTCCCCAGCCCTAAGAAGCCACTAATTACTTTTTGTCTTTATAGATTTGCCTTTTCTGGACATTTCATATAAATCTAATGATACAATATGTGGCCTTTTATGTCTGGTTTCTTTCACTTAGCATCATGTTTAGAGGTTCATCTGTGTTGTGGCATCAGTATTCTGTCTCTTTTTATTGCCCAGTAGTATTTCACTGCGTGGCTGTGCAGCAGTTTTAAATGAAGTAGTTTTTTGACAGTTTTTCTAAAAACCAGAAACACAATATAAAGCTTGATTTTGTTGATTATGTTCCACACAGGATACCTGTGAAACAGTTTGTGTTGCTTATTATCTAAACTACTTTGTAAAATTTGTCTTGAATTTTATATAGAAATCAATGGTTTCCATACTGTTATTAGTCAGATTCTGAGCATTGGAAAACGTTTTTAACAGTTTTCACACTTACAGCTATAATTCTTTGAAGAGCACATTGAAAGATGTTTGGATCACATGTCTATTTTGTTGTATTTCATTGTTTAGATCTCATTTTAAGTGTAAAAATTAAAAATGAAATGCTCTTTCTGCTTATGACCAAACAGTATACATGTTCAGAAGGCAGAGTTGCCCATAGTCTCATCCTCCAGATATGTAACAACTATTAAGAGTTTGGGAGTAATTTGGGGAATTCCCTGACAGTCCAGTGGTTAGGACTCTGTGCTCTCACTGCCTGGGCACCAAGGTTCAATCCCTGGTGGGGGAACTAAGATCCCACAAGCCTCGAGGTGTGGCCAAAAGAGAAAAAGAGTTTGGGAGTAATTCTTTTTCTCTTTGCATATTGTAATTAATAGATATGAAAATAAAGATTTTTAACTGCGAGTTTTAAATGGTATCACATTATACCTGTTGTAACTTTTAATCCCAATATATTTTTAGAAATTTAAAACCGGACAGTTTTACCTATATTATTTTTGTTATATAAAAATCTTTCCTCCACATTTTTCTATTGGAAATTTAGCTCATTATTCAGAGACAGATGTGCTTGTTTCTCCATCTGTCAGGTCTTTGGGTTTTTATTTCACTCTTTTTTATAGTTTTCCAGCCAGCAGGAAACAAAGTGCCAACGAAGAGACAAATTGTTTGATTTGTTTCTTCTGTAGTAAGTGATTTAATGGAGGAAGAAGTTGAAAATAAAGATTAAAATGAGATGTTATCTGTGAGTTTTTGTTTTCATGTTTTTAACTATAATTCAGAGTCTTTGGGGATTATCTGTTTGGCTCTAAATAAGTAACTCTGACTTTTGGAAACAGATTATGTCCTCTGTTCTTTTTTTTTTTTTTTTTTTAATAGTCCTAATAAAATTTCGTTGAGAACCAGTTAAGTCAAATCCTTTACGGAACATAGAAATACATACAGTTCCAGCCCTTTCCAGTAAATGGCTATATAACATCGGTGTAGGATCCCTGAATGTCCTACTCTGATTTGTACCTGTAGGAGAGAAGCAGTTCCTCTACAGCTTAACAGTACAGAAGTGGGGTGCTCTGACCTATTTAGGGGGAGCAGCGGTGAAGTCAGAATTGAGTATGGATAACAAAGGATTATAGATGAGTTCAAGTAGCCAAAGGAGTAGATGAATAAGTGTTTACTCTTCACGTTTTGTATTTCAAACTCAGTCAAGAGAAGGCAGGGCATTATAAGATCAGACACAAATTAACGTGAGGACTCATGAGCAAAGTACACCTCTCAGTTAAGTCATGCCGGCAAGTTGTAATAGGAGAGAAAATGGCCACTTTTACCTAAAACTCTACCTACCGTGAAGGCTTTTGATTCCGAATAATTGGAAGTGACATCAAAGATGAAAAGAGGGTCAAATGACTCTAAGGATTAAAGACTGACTTCTGGATGGGACCAAGAGGATCGATGTAAATAACTGATCGTCATGTTCATAGAAGCACACGACAAGATAAATGAATACTGCTTGACAAGGTTTTAAGGTTTCACTACCTAGTCTTTACATGGAGATAAAAGATACTACTCAGTTTTCTGGGAAGCAGTTTTGTGCATTTTTTCGTTTCGTTTTGTTTTCTAACCAAAAAAAATATCTGAGGGAAACATGATGTTGCAGAAATAGAACTGAAATGATGCCTCTTCCTTTCAAAACTAAGAAATTTCATGTAAAGGTTTCAATTTCTACCATGGTGTTAGGGTATTAGTCTGAGTTTTATAGCCTTTGCCTGAGTTTAAAATCCTATCAAACTTTCTGAGCTCTTAAACATAAATAAACAATGGCACAAATATAAAATCTTGCCAGTTTAATAACTTAAAAAGCTAAAGAAAAAAATGAAAACTGGATTGTGTTTGTACTTTTTAAATTTGTTAATGGATGGCGCTAGTTAACAGCAATCCAAATAGGAATAAGAATCTTATTCAAAGTGTTCTTCTCCCTGCCTTGATGTCTTCCTGGGGTTAAATTAATTAAGGTGTTTGGTGAAGGACTGTGA